GGCAGCATCTCACTTTCCCCCCAAAGATTGGGAGTAAACACAGCTCACAATTTAAAAGAAAAATACAAAAGTTAAAATATAAAATTAAATTTCATCAGTTTGGACAGTTTCAGTGAATGTAGCATTTTGCACTTCCAGAAACATGTTGCCAAAAAAGAAAGTGCATGCCCCCTTGTCTGATTACAGATTTACAAAGCTTGCAGGGCATTTTTAGAAAAGGAAGGGCACACAGATCACTGTGCGTATTTTCAAACACAATGGCTAACATGTGTGTAATTGGGGAAATATGAAAAAAAAATGCTTTAGTCAATGGGAAAGAATTGTCAGATTAGGATAATGGGGAAATAAAGGTGCAAATGAGGAAAATGTATCCTTAAAAAACCCTCTGCATTAATTTCACTGGAGGAAGAAAGGACAAAGTATTGTAATCTGATACAAAGCAAAGACAGGTCAAAATACAGGTGGAATTTTGAGAAATTCAGCAAAGTCGAGGCTACAAAATGTTCACATCCCTAGTTTATATACATGTGTAAAGATCTTGTATGCATATGAGTCTTGATTTGTCTTTTTAAATTAAGTCTAGAAGCCCATCTTTTTATTTAAAATGTTTTAAATGAATCTTCCTCCCCATCCTGAATTGTGATAAAATCAGTTTCAAAGTTCCAAGACAGTAAAATGACTAATGTACTGTTGTCAAGGAAGAATTATATACAGTGACAAACCAAGGTACCTCCAGGGTACTCATCTGTCAAAGTATTCATTTCACATTTCTGTCTGTTATCTGAATAAGCAATAAAATCCCATGATTGTGCAGTGCAAGGAGGTAGCATTGATAGCCCTGCTTATGAAATTTTAACGGATCTATTGCCTTAATAGCATTGTGTGCATTTTGGAATCCCATGCTGCCAGCTCTTTTCTGTTATGATGATTATGGTGTTGTTCTTGTTTAAAACAACTCTAAGCTTAACCTTTCCTTTTACCAACCTCCACCTCCTTGCACAGTTCCACCCACTTGATTTCATAGGCTGCATGCAAACAACAGGATTTTATTAATCATTGGCACATAAAAGAACTGTGTTCCATTTACTACCAGCACTGTGTTAATCACAAAAATAGATCCCACAACCGCAGCATGAACAATGGCATAATCAATGCAGTATGCAGTGATGCTGAAGAGAGGCATTTATTTTAAAGCCATTTTCCCTCCCTTTCTCTCATTCTTTTATTTCTGTCTCCCACTTTTTAAGAGGGAGAATTGCCAGGAGGGAACGAGGCAAATGAAAATCAATTAATTATTTTCCTCTCCTTCTTTGTGTGTGTGTGTGTGTGTGTTTTAATGCTGCCTGCTTTTCCCCATCTGGATCCTATTATAGGATTTACCTTTATGTTGACTCCTCATTCAATGGGTCTGTTCTAGTTGGAATTAACCAGTAAAGTTCAGGCCTATATTTTCTTTTTCTTTTCTTTTTTGTTCCCTATCTTTAATAGTGAGAGCATAAGTACATGTATTATATACATTCCAGCAACATCTATTCTAGTAATGCTGAGGATTTTTTAAAGTTCAGTTTTTATCAGAGGTTATCAAAATTCAAATGCAGCAGGGAGGGAAACTAACAAAATTGTTCCTTCCTATGTACACCAGCAAGTGATGGTTGTAAAGTCAATGGGGCAGTGAACTCTTCTCTGTCTTTTAATCCAGACTTTCAAAGAGCTATCCAACCTATTTCAGAGACAGTATTCAGCAAAGAATAACAGGCACTGTTGGTTATTTTTCAGAGGAAGGAACTCTGAAACCACCTCTGAATATCCTTTCCCTAAGAAAACTCCATGAAATTCACAGGGTTGCCATTACTAGGCAGGGAACTTGAAGGCACATGCACACTAAGCACACACTAAGCACATTGGACAGTGTCTTTAAAGTTCAGATTAAAACCCAGAGCAGATTCACAGGCCCACTGACATTAGAACCAGGAGGCACTGCTACTCCCTATGAGCTAATATCTCTCCTGTTAAAGAATGACATGCTTTGGTCATTTGGGACCACAATCGCCTTTCTGTGGACAGTAGAGCACTATTAGGTTTTAATTTGTCTCTTAACATGTTGCCCCCATATTGTTCATTTTTGTGCCTTACTTTATTGACTTTTTGTGCCTTACTTTATTAAGAGCCCTGGTGGCACAGTGGTTAAATGCCTGTACTGCAGCCACTCACTCATAGACCACGAGGTTGCGAGTTCAATACTAGCCAGGGCTCAGGCTAGACTCAGGCCTGCATCCTTCCGAGGTCGCTAAAATGAGTACCCAGATTGTTGGGGGGCAATCAGCTCACAGTTGTAAACCGCTTAGACATCCCATGCGTGATATGAAGCGGTATATAAATGAAGCTGCTTTGCTTTGACACTTAAACAAAGAAGGGCTAAGGCTAACGTCCAGAGCCCCTATGCATTTGCTTATATGTTTCACTCATGTGCCTGTGCACACACATACACGCAGTCAAATGGGTTCTGCTGATTTTCCTCTTCAGGCCACAGTCAGGAGTGGTCATGGGAAAGAAAGGGAAGCCACCGCTTTTTCAGTGAATATGGCTTCACGGAGTTGAGTTCTGTTTCTGACAATTGGAGGACTGTTAGAAATGCATGGCCACTGCTGCCTGCTGTGTCATGATGGCAAAGTGCCGCTACTGCCAGTAGTTTATGAATGTCACACAGCCTGGGGGTGTAATAATTGTCCTGGCTTCTAAAGTGAGCTGGCCCATAGGTCAGACTATACTTCCATCTCAACAAAGAATCTTGGTGGATGCCCTTACACCAGCTTAAGTTGCGTTAAGCTAGTTGCGATTAAGAGATAAAGAGCTCTGTTAGCCCAGTATGGAAAAATATAGGCAGCAGATGGGACTGGATGGAATCCAGACTTTAGAGGAGCTATCCAAATTACTTATCCTATTTGGGAGATAGCATTCAGCAAAGAATACCAGGTGCAGTTGGCTATTTTTCTGAAGAAGGAACTGGCAAAGACAGGGGGAAAAAAGAGGAATAGACTTTCCAAGTGAAAAACTTGGATAAAACTCCTTCCAAACATTGTGAACTTGCAGCTAGGTCTAGACCCTAGGTAACCAGCAACAAGACACCAAATGCATCTGAGGAAGTAGACTTAAATCCATGAAAGCTCTTCTTGCCAACTTCTTTCTTTAGTTAGTCTCAAAGGTGCTACAAGATCTTTTTACAGCAACAAGTCTGTTTAGTTAAAGTGAAATGATAACAAAGTGAGTTGGCTGCCCTGACCAGACATTTCATTCTGCCAACCCTATGGCTGCATCTGCACTGTGGAAATAATCTAGTTTGACACCTATTTTACTGCCATGGCTCCAGGCTATGGAATCCTGGGATTTGCAGTTTGTTGTGGCACCAGAGCTCTCTGACTGAGAAGGCTAAATATCTCACAGAATTACAATTTCCAGGAACCCATAGCATTGAGCCATGGCAGTTGAAGTGGCGTCAAACTGGATTATTTCTGCAATGAAGGTGTTGCCTCAGTCTGTCCATCTAGCAGGGCTAAGAGAGTGAAGGCATCTTTTATTTTCCTACGAGGAATCTGTTGGGATGGAATCATTCTGAATTTATACTGGCTACATCCACACTGCAGAAATAATCTGGTTTGATGTCACTTTAACTGCCATGGCTCAATGCTATGGCATTCTGGGAAATGTAGTTTGTTCCTACATTCTCCAAGCTACATTTCTCAGAATTCCATATCAACGAGCCATGGCAGTTAAAATGGTGTCAAACAAGATTATTTCTGCAGTGTGGATGCAGCCTATGTCTCCCTGTATATTCCTATCCAAGCTCTGAGATGTGCTTTAGAGACTCTCCTGTATGTCCCACAAGTGGGAACAATATACTGGGATGGAGATGTAGGTGAAGGCCTTCTTTGCTGTGGCACCCTACCTTTGGAAAGGTCTCTTGGAGGCCTGACCAGCACTGGTATTGATCTCATTTTGGCACCAAGCTAAAACTTGTCATTGTTTTTTCCCCACCACATCTTTTGAGACCCAGCAATCATAGCCTTTTGAATTTCTATTTCAGAGTATACTGTGTATATTCTTTTAAATTGTTTTACACTGTTTTTAAATAGATTAAAGCTATGTAAATTGTTGTTTTACATTGTTTTAATTGTTATCTAATTTTGGAGAAGCTGAGGGAAAGCAAAGGAACGGTGTGGTATTGTGGCTTTGGGGTGTTCAGCTTGGACATTTGATAACTTGACAAGGCATTTAATGCCTGTTGCTGTTTTAATGTTTAGCTTTAACAATGAGAGCTTCACATACTCCTTCTTGTTATGAAAGCAACATGTATTCAGTCTGGACTGGAATGACCATAATGGGCAAAATTCTGTAGCATTTTGGGAGAGCAGAAGGTACATGCTGGAAAGACATGAATCCATGTATTCTGTATGAAAGGACTTAGTGTAAACTGAGGAAATGTGCATATTTGCCTGGCTTACATGAATGGCAGATAAATTTAGTTTTTAAAGTGAATGTAAGCTAGACCCAGAGTGCTGCAGGGTGATTGCCAACGAAAGAGGGCACAGCTCCTGAACATCAGTACAAGAGCTCTTGTAGTTCATCATGTAAGCTTTAACTGTTAAACATTCTGCTTCTGCACAGGAACATTGAAGGAGTAAGTTCAATTGAATACAGTGGGACTTACTTTTCAATAAAACCTATGCAGGATCTCATTGTGAATGACTTAGAATGCCACTGCTGTTTATTCTCAAGACCAAGAAGCAGGGGCATTTGACAGCAGAAAGTAATCTTCATTCTCCCATAGTTTTACTCCTACTAAA